GATATAAAACATTTATATCACCCTGCTCTACAGCAATCACCCGTGTACCCTTGCATCGTACTGTTTAGAAAATATACCCTTAGATGTTAATTTTTATATATTTAGTGGTTTAACCAGAATTCTTACACATAATCAAAAGGTCAATATTGAATCAATACAATCTTTTAATTGGTATCAATAATGAATATCAACCATTACATTTACTTTTACCCTACTTTGTGGGCTAAACACACTACAATATTCTGCTATGGTGAAATTAGCATAGATAAAATATCTATTACATATTTTATGGTGTAAAATCTGAACCTTTTAGAACTTTCAGAATAGGTAAATACTTTTTAGGACTTGGACTAAGTAGCTATTTATTGGCACCACAGAGAATTACTTCATGATAGAAATATTTCAGTCAATGTAAACAGATAGAGAACAGAAGCAGAAAAGCTTAGCCACACCAAAATACATATAACAATGCACAAAGAATCACAGACTGTTGCAATCTGATTAAGTAATCCAATGAAAATTCCTTCTGCAAGAATCTCCCACATGTGCTCCCTACCTCCAACCCAACACTTTCCTCCTGCCTTAGACCAACAGAACTACTTTTTTTTCCAAGACTGAAACTCAGTTCCCCTTGATAATTTGTCCAGTCGTGTCCGACTCTAGGCGACGGTGCTCATCTCTGTTTCCAACCCATAGAGCTAGCGTTTGTCTGCAGACAATCCTCCGTGATCACGTGGCCAGCGTGACTAGACATGGAACGCTGTTTACCTTCCCACCGAGGTGGTACCTATTTATCTACTCGCATTTTTGCATTTTGCATGCTTTTGAACCGCTAGGTTGGCGGGAGCTGGGACAATCGACGGGGGCTCACTCCGTTGTGTGGATTCGATCTTACGACCGCAGGTCTTCTGACCTTGCAGCACACAGACGCCTCTGTGGTTTAACCCACAGTGTCACCATGAAACTCAGTTCATTCCACCTTAAAAGAATAAACATGGGTAGGAATTGTTCAATTAGAGCAGCAGCAGTCGTGGTGGAAACATTTCTCATGCGGAATATCTAGTAGAGACTATGTTCTACTAGAATTCTT